AAGCCAAGCGGAAACAGGTAATAATAAAGAAGACAACCAGAAGGTAGCCGGGGCAGTGTGAAAATGCACCAGGATGGAGAGAAGCGGAGGAGTTAGTGAAACAGAGGCTCCAGGTGGGGCTGCATTTCACAAGTAAACCTTTAAAAGGCTGTAAATGGTGCTCTGAGTGACTTGCCCCAGAAAGAAGAGGTCAACCTAGATTGCAGAGCTGTTTAAACATCATCATGAAAATACAATGAAAATATATCAAAGCACAACGTCAGAGGGCGTTTTCCCATGCAGACCACCACCCACCCACCCTCTTCCTCACCCGCAGCCACGCACCTTTCCCCCCTCATCCTCCCAAGACAGCGAGCTATTTCGAGGATTTTCTAGATACATATTTTAATGCTATGAGGTTTACAAGAAAGGGAAAGTGACAGCCCTCATGCAACGCGAGATCAATAGGAATAGGTTTACAGCAGTGGGTGAGGAATATTATTTTTCTTCGTTATTTTCTAATGAGGTTTTGTCCTGGGCCAAGACAGCTTCAGACTGAAATATCATCTAAGGGAAAGAAATCCTACCTAGGGGAGGTGTGTCGATTTACACAGACTGTGGATACTCCATGGGGGAAAAAGGAGCACATTTGACTGATATTCTGCGGGTGAGTTGGTTGGGGGGGGGGAGTACAGGGAAGGGCACTCATCCGCACATCCCAGTAAAAACTGCGTGCACCGATTCCAGATTAGCTCCCTTAACTTCAAGGGGATTAAGGAACGTGCGAATAGGAACGATGGGAAGGGAAATTCCCTGGGTCCTTCTGAAATCGGTACCTTCCAAAACAGTTTTGCGTCCAGTACTTTAGTGTTCGGAGAAACCAGCTGTGAAAGGATTTCAAGCCAAGGTGGGGGTTGCCATCGATCGCAATCCCCTGCAGAACGCGTGGAAATCTTTTGGCGAGTCTTCCGGCCTGAGTACGCTTGCACCAGGGGCCTCCGTGGGTTTTGGTTTTCCTGAAATATTAACACCGACTCTCGAACGCCCTTAAGAAAGATCCCGGGTACGCAGAGAGTCGATGGCCACCAGGAAACTGGCAGGTTCCTTCTCTCCCTTACCCACCCCCCGCCCCCCCCGCCCCGCAGGTTCCTTCTCTCCCTTACCCACCCCCCGCCCCCCTCCAGAGGAGGAAGTTTAAAGAGACAAAAGACTGCCGGGGCGCTTTGGTG